GTAACAACATCAACAAGTGCAGGGAACTGCCTCCAAGGGAAAGGGGGCCGCTGGTGAAGCTTTACCACCCTGTAACAACATCAACAAGTGCAGGGAACTGCCTCCAAGGGAAAGGGGGCCGCTGGTGAAGCTTTACCACCCTGTAACAACATCAACAAGTGCAGGGAACTGCCTCCAAGGGAAAGGGGGCCGCTGGTGAAGCTTTACCACCCTGTAACAACATCAACAAGTGCAGGGAACTGCCTCCAAGGGAAAGGGGGCCGCTGGTGAAGCTTCACCACCCTGTAACAACATCAACAAGTGCAGGGAACTGCCTCCAAGGGAAAGGGGGCCGCTGGTGAAGCTTAACCACCCTGTAACAACATCAACAAGTGCAGGGAACTGCCTCCAAGGGAAAGGGGGCCGCTGGTGAAGCTTAACCACCCTGTAACAACATCAACAAGTGCAGGGAACTGCCTCCAAGGGAAAGGGGGCCGCTGGTGAAGCTTAACCACCCTGTAACAACATCAACAAGTGCAGGGAACTGCCTCCAAGGGAAAGGGGGCCGCTGGTGAAGCTTAACCACCCTGTAACAACATCAACAAGTGCAGGGAACTGCCTCCAAGGGAAAGGGGGCCGCTGGTGAAGCTTAACCACCCTGTAACAACATCAACAAGTGCAGGGAACTGCCTCCAAGGGAAAGGGGGCCGCTGGTGAAGCTTAACCACCCTGTAACAACATCAACAAGTGCAGGGAACTGCCTCCAAGGGAAAGGGGGCCGCTGGTGAAGCTTAACCACCCTGTAACAACATCAACAAGTGCAGGGAACTGCCTCCAAGGGAAAGGGGGCCGCTGGTGAAGCTTAACCACCCTGTAACAACATCAACAAGTGCAGGGAACTGCCTCCAAGGGAAAGGGGGCCGCTGGTGAAGCTTTACCACCCTGTAACAACATCAACAAGTGCAGGGAACTGCCTCCAAGGGAAAGGGGGCCGCTGGTGAAGCTTAACCACCACCCTGTAACAACATCAACAAGTGCAGGGAACTGCCTCCAAGGGAAAGGGGGCCGCTGGTGAAGCTTAACCACCACCCTGTAACAACATCAACAAGTGCAGGGAACTGCCTCCAAGGGAAAGGGGGCCGCTGGTGAAGCTTAACCACCACCCTGTAACAACATCAACAAGTGCAGGGAACTGCCTCCAAGGGAAAGGGGGCCGCTGGTGAAGCTTTACCACCCTGTAACAACATCAACAAGTGCAGGGAACTGCCTCCAAGGGAAAGGGGGCCGCTGGTGAAGCTTAACCACCCTGTAACAACATCAACAAGTGCAGGGAACTGCCTCCAAGGGAAAGGGGGCCGCTGGTGAAGCTTAACCACCCTGTAACAACATCAACAAGTGCAGGGAACTGCCTCCAAGGGAAAGGGGGCCGCTGGTGAAGCTTTACCACCCTGTAACAACATCAACAAGTGCAGGGAACTGCCTCCAAGGGAAAGGGGGCCGCTGGTGAAGCTTAACCACCCTGTAACAACATCAACAAGTGCAGGGAACTGCCTCCAAGGGAAAGGGGGCCGCTGGTGAAGCTTAACCACCCTGTAACAACATCAACAAGTGCAGGGAACTGCCTCCAAGGGAAAGGGGGCCGCTGGTGAAGCTTTACCACCCTGTAACAACATCAACAAGTGCAGGGAACTGCCTCCAAGGGAAAGGGGGCCGCTGGTGAAGCTTTACCACCCTGTAACAACATCAACAAGTGCAGGGAACTGCCTCCAAGGGAAAGGGGGCCGCTGGTGAAGCTTAACCACCCTGTAACAACATCAACAAGTGCAGGGAACTGCCTCCAAGGGAAAGGGGGCCGCTGGTGAAGCTTTACCACCACCCTGTAACAACATCAACAATACGTCTGGGATGTATCTGCCTCCTAGCGGCAGTCATTGTGATGGAGTCGGGACGCCGGTTCACGCAAGCGACAGCACATCGACGGGAAATCGCACACCGGAAAGGGGGCCGCTGGTGAAGCTTTACCACCCTGTAACAACATCAACAAGTGCAGGGAACTGCCTCCAAGGGAAAGGGGGCCGCTGGTGAAGCTTAACCACCCTGTAACAACATCAACAAGTGCAGGGAACTGCCTCCAAGGGAAAGGGGGCCGCTGGTGAAGCTTTACCACCACCCTGTAACAACATCAACAATACGTCTGGGATGTATTTCGTGGTCCTCCTAGCGGCAGTCATTGTGATGGAGTCGGGACGCCGGTTCACGCAAGCGACAGCACATCGACGGGAAATCGCACACCTGATCAGGCGGCGCAAATCATGGACCGCGGCCATCCACAGAGTAGTTGTTGACTCTCGGGTGCGGTTGGGTTCTTTTACTGCATTAGGCCGCCGACCTAAGAGCGGTTGGAACACTGTTGGACCTTCCTGCCCTTTTTTACGGTTAGTAGAGGACAGTTTGCTTTGCATGGATCCGCTCTCAGACGAAGTTGATCGGTATTTCCACCCCTTGGGTCGTCTCTTAGACGCAGCTCGGTGGAAGGGCGGTCCACTTTTTCACATCGAGAACACAAGTGCAAGTTGTGGGCGTGAGTTTGTCGCTCATAGGGGAGCAGCTGTTGGCAAAATCCCCCTGTTGGCACCAGCAGTGCTAGTCTGGTGCTGAGGTGTTGTGCGTGCCGGTACGGAGCACTAGTGCTTTTCCTTTCCAGGCTATGTGTATTACAATTACAGAGACAGGCGACGTGCATTTGGCTCGGTTTCTTTGCATCATGCTTACGTACTCCAGCTTCTACAAGGTCATGAGTATCAATCAGATCAGCTAGTGTCTCAATAACAGTCCAAGAGTGGTGATGTCGGTGGTGGTAGTGGTAGTGTACCCCGAGCAGTATCAGACATGGCTTTATTCCCCGCTAAACCAACCGAGGAGGCAGCACCGGCCTGTCGAGGTAACTGCAGGTGGTGGTTGCACACCAGCCCGCCACCAAAGCTGTCGGTGACCATTCTGTCCATGTGTTCGTACCGTGCTTGCACAGCACCGTCACCACTGCAACGGTGGCTATTTACTGTACCACCTCACAGCATTGTTGGCAGTCCCGCCTGCAGCAATGCGTCCCCCAGGTTTACATGACACTTATACATTTTACGACATCTGTGTTGTATTTTTTAAGCTCCATGCTGGTACCAAGCTTTTCAACGGTGTAGACATGACGGGTAGGAGCAGCCCTCCTCCAGGTCTTTCACACCGAGGCGCAGGCGTGTTGCCCAGAGGTTGATTGCTCGGGGCACGCACCATGTCTTGGACTGATGCTGCACAAAGTGCGACTGCGTAGCTGTTGCACGGAAATTATGTGATGGTCTGCGAGCCCCTTGCTGCAGGCGCACCCCTCCCGGACGTCCTTCTGCACATCCCGGGCAGAGACATCCCGGGCAGAGACATCCCGGGCAGAGGCCTCACGTTGCTGATGCGGAGCTCCTAAAGGCGCTCGTCTAGGGGTCACACGGCACGCTGAAAAGCATCTCAGAAGGGGATGGACACACTCGAGGCCAGTAGTTGCGCAGAACTTCTTGAAGCAGGCGGTTCATCCGCTCTGTTTGACCATCCGTTGGCGGGTGGTAAGCCCCGTTGATAACCTGCGCTCTGTGCCACTACGGCGCATGAGCTCTCCCCAGAATTTGCTAGTAAACTGGGGACCTCGATCGGAGACGATTTCCTTTGGAAAACCGTGGCTGCGGAAGACATTGTCCATGTACAGCTGGGCTAAGTCCTCAGCGGTCACATCATTCGTGGTGGGAGCGACCCGGCACATTTCCACATCAGCCTATCCACTAAGGTGACGATGGCGTCGTGCCCCGCCTTAGTGCGTGGCAAATGCGTGATAAAATCCACGGAAACACTAGCCCAGACGTCTCTGGGAATTGGTAATGGCTAGAGCAAGCGAGAAAAAGGATTGGACACTAGGAGAGCTTTGTTATATCACGACTTCAGAAAAGTACCGACCGGCGGGTGTCGGGACCCCCTGATACCCCCAGGACAGGATGCTACAGTAATCCCCCCTGCAGCTCAGGGTGTCCTCGACCACGTCCGTCTCATCAGTGGCCGCAGGTGGTCGAACTGCCCAGGCCTGATTCGAATCCGGGTAGGGACAGGGTTACCAGTCTCGATACCAATCGTAACGTCGTTCCCATCCCGACGCGTACATCTCTTTCGCTCTGCCTCATTCGAGCCGGAGATTCATGTAGAAGTACTACTACTCAAACTCAGAGGAACTCACTGTGCAAAGTCTGCGGGTAATCTGCGCTAGTCGCGGAGGGAAAGCGGCATCACGCAAAACTACCCGACCGGGCTCAAGCCTGGGTTCGGTATTGTTATCACTTTCTCACCCTCCACACACCAATTTTTGGTTGTAGTAAGCACTACACACCACCCCTCCGGCCCCCCCGCCTGCAATTCGTGCAACATATATACCGCTATGCCCGCTATGCTGATAATGATAACACCACCACCTCATCGGTCTCTCCGAAATATGATGCACCAGTTGGATCGATCATAAAACACTTCCTCGATAACACCCCACGGCGGCGCCAGGTTCGTCGTCGTACCCATGCCGTACACAACAGCGCCTCCGTCACCGCCATCGGTGTCGACGTCACCGTCATTTCCCAACCCCCCGGCGGGCCCTTCCCTCAGCGCCTGCTCCACCAGCCCCACCAGCTCCGACCGCTCAAAGAGGTGGTAGTAGCGCTGGAACACGACAGCGCTCTTGGAGGTGTCGATCTGTTGAAAAGGGCGACGGGTAGTTTGTCCAGGGGTTCAGGGAGGCGGTGAGGCAGGAGACTCGGTCTTGGAGTGTAACATCAGGGGCGAACTAGATGAGGCGAACGGGTGGAAAACACGGTTGGTTGGGAAAAGCTGTTGGCTGTTGGTTTTTCTGATAAATAAATAAAGCCGGCATGGCTCCCCGTGCGGGTGCGGCGCAAGAAATCTGCATTACCTGCAAAACCCTAAGTCCATAATGTTGTTTTTAAGTGCATGCACTGAGCCATGTATAGCAAAACGCATGAACTTCTGCACCCTGAACTTTCAACCACACGTGCTGCTATCAATCGCAAAATAACTTCCGGAATGTTCGAATCACACCATCTTTGCACCCACCTTCGGTCCGCCTGCTGCTGCTGCTGCTGCTGCTGCTGATGATGATGATGATGACGATGACCCCAGAGGAGCAGCACCACCACCATCAGCACCGCCAGGGCCGCCGTTGTTACCGCCACCGCCGCCACCACCGTTTCCGGCAGCCCCTGCAGCGGCCCCCCTCGCGGCCTCTCTAGCCACCTGCACCGCCCTGGCGGCCTCAGTTCGGTGGAAAGGCAAATGCCATGGCACGAAGTAGTCCACTCCTCCATCACCATCACCATCACGTGGACCGCCGCTACCAGCCGTAGTCCTGCTCGGGATGTCCCGCATGATGGCGCCCTCGCCAGCAGCACCATTGCCCATGCCGCTGGGCTGTCCCACCGTCGCCGCCGCCGCCGCCGCCGCGGCGGCTGTCACTGCCGCGGCTGTCACTGCCGTGGGCTTGGATACAGCTGTGGAAGTGGCGGTGCCGTCAGGTGCGGGTATCCTCATCCACTTCGCGGTCGTCTTGGCGGGATCCTCCTGCTCAGTAGCCCATACCGTCACAAGTGCCCGGCCGCCACAGCCACAGCCAATACCTCCGCCGTTGCTGGCAGTGCTGGCAGGAGGGCACAGGGCACGCAGCAGCTGTCTCAGCAGCCGTACCCGGCGGCGGCGACTGCTGAGGTGGTGCAGTACGGCAATGCACAGCACGCCGTCGCAACTGCCCGGACGGTACGGCAGGTGCAGCGCATCGGCGACGAGGGCATCGGCGGCGGGGGGCGAGGCGGACGGCGGCAGGCCGGGGGCATGTAGCCGCTGAGCCGCCACCTCCGCAAGACCTTGCAGTACAGTACGGCAAACACAGCCGTGTCAGGTCGTGACGCATGGTTACGACGTACGTGGCAAACCATCATAAATCAGCTGACATGATGACCGGTTTGTATATACTCATGTAGCACATCATCAATCAATCAATCAATCAATCAATAATACATGTACTACTACACAGATGTCGTACAGATGGCCTAAAGATGATGTAAGTAACGGCAAATGCAGTACTTACCAAACAAACAAAGGAACACGGACATAGTATATATATGTATGTATATATAGAGAGATGAACCTCTTCAAAGATCTATTTGCAATCACCTCACCCGAGCTGATGTCGCTGCCCAGCACTGCCAGATCCCGCCGCACTCCAAAGTACTTGCCATTACCGCAACCCACGTCAGCCACCACTGCCCCCTTCGGCAGCGACTCGATGAAGCTGCGAACCCGCGGCCAGATAGCGAACCTGGATAAAGGAGGGGGAGGCAAGTGTCGCAGAAATATGCTGCTCCTTAAGTGGTTAGAAAATGAGTCCCACAAGTTGCATCTGCGTTTTGTGAGGCACGTTAGATAAAGTCCACATCTCATATGTGCGGTGTTTTCCTTTCCTCCGTGGCTTTTAGGCGTTGTAGTATTGCCCTTGGGCCTTCGGCTCGTATGGGTAGTCTTACAGGTATGGGGTCACGCACCCCCAACCATGTAACACACACACACACACATCTCATATAACTATGCCGACTTTGTACACGTCCTGTAGTTTCTAAACGTTTAAAGTTTTTGCTTCCGAAGTCCAAAGCTACAATGAAAACAAAAAAAAAAGGCATCCTCTTTTGTCGGGACTTTGTAAAACCAGCAGCCGCAGCACGCCCGAGGCCCTATATGTATACCATTGTAGAATGCAGTATCGTACATCCGTACATCCGTACCGTGTCGCGCTGAAATGGGGTGCGATAGCGTCGTACACCTTGTGCACGTACTCCGCCTCGAGCGCCGCCAACCTCGCCTCCTCCTCCTTCTCCTTCCCCTCCTGCTCCCGTTGCGGATCTGCATGCTGCTGCTGCTGCTGCTGCTCAGCTGACATTTGAGGTTGCTGCGCCTGCTGATCACCATCGTCGTCGTCATTAGGCTGCTGGTGGTGGTGGTGGTGGTGGTGGTGGTGGTGGTGGTGGTGGCTGCGGTGTAGTTGGAGTTGGGAGATGCGAGTGGGAGGCAAATCCGCCTGCAACAACAACGACAACGGTCATCAGCCCCTCTTCAGCCTCCTGCGTCCCGGTTGGTGTACAAGTCGAGACAGCTCAGGAAATTGTGTAGACATGCACACGTACATACATACATACATACACATACGTTAGACACCACTGACATATATGTTTATATAAACACATCCCGCCAGTCGCTTCGCCGACATCAATCACCAACTGCCAACCGCTAACCACCAACCTGCTGGCTATCGCAGCAGTCCGGGTAGTTACAGTTGCAGGGATAACCGCGAACCTGTTCATGAGAGCGCGTGTATGTGCGTGTGTTCGGGGGGGGGGGGAGTTTAAGGGTTTAAGAGTGTCTCTCTGTGTGTATGTGTTTTAAAATTTTCAGAGCACCAACTGCCGGAGCCGGTCCCAATCAAGGGAGCGGTTTGGACCGGCGGTTGGGGTGTGGGGGAGTTGGGGGGGTATGTATCGGTAGCATAAATCGGCCTCATAATTGACACCTAGCCAACTGTCAACGTTCTAGGACTCAGCCGACGTCTTGTTACTTCGCGATTTGTAAGGTAAATCCTAACTAACAACCCCCAACGAAAACCCCACCCGTCACTGACACGCGTGCACGTTTCCCCCTCTTCATAGTTCCGTCGCTGACTCCTCCAGACAATTTCCCCTTTCCATCCTTCCCCCCTTCCCCCTCTTTACATCTGGCGCCGCAGCACTCTTTCCTTGGCATCAGCTTCACTCGCTCGCGGTTCGTCTTCCCCCTTTTTCCTCCTCCCATACACACACGCACACACACGCACACACACACACACACACGCACGCACTCACACGCACACACACACACCTTCCTAAACGTCAGCGACACTCGGCGGCCTCGGGGCAGTACCTGACCCCCGACCACGTCAGCAACCCGATGGGGGATGTAGTGCTGCCTGGGGGGAGCGGGGGGGGGGGCCGGGTCGGGGTGTAAGAGAGGGGTGAAGGGTTGAAGGAGAGGGGTGACGCGGTGAAGGGGTTGAAGGGAAAGGATGGGGCGGAAAAAACCCAAATAAAAGAAACCCATCACTCACTTTCACACAAACACGAATGGGGCCCCTCAAGAGGAACAGAGCTGACAGGAAGTGTGTTTCTTACCAACCGGGGGGGTTTGGGGACCGACGCGGGGGGTACGGTTCAGCAGCTTATTACTGGAACCGTGGAAGAGCCCAACTACCCGGCGGTTGTTTTACCCACCTAACCAACAACGGTCAGGCAACTGTCAAACCCATTCCCGGACCAATTCCTACCACCACTACCAAAACGCATGTTTTTTTCGCGCCTCCCCTACTTACCCCACAAAGCCACACTCACTCTCACAGCACTCATCCACTCACCCCTTCCCCCCAAAACACACACAGTCCACACACGCCTCACCACGCATATCTGGACTCCCCCCCCATCACGAGCAGCGACCTCCGGGGTAGTAGCAGCGGCCTGGCTACCTCCCCCCTCCGCATCTCCATCACTGCCGTACTGCCGAGTGACAGGGAGATGATAGGGCCCGTAAAGGCCGAGTGGGTGTCCACATGGGGAGCTAAACCCACTCCGGGGTCGTACTCGTTGACGGTTAGCTGGTCTAACGGCTGAGATACCTGCAGTGGAGTGGGTAACGGATTCGGTGGATTTTAGGGTTTTGGTGATCTTACCCTCCGCTTAGCCGTCTGGTGTGTCGCCCCCTACACTGATTTGGTATCCGGTATTCGGCACAGACGCACAGACAGACAAATAGGCAGACACACAGATGTTCCCTCCCCCACCTCCCAAGTGCCATACACACACGCCCCATTTCCTCCACCCTTTCATTTCCCCCCATTCCCCCCCTCACCTTACCTCCGGCAGTGCCGATATCCGCTCCACCAGGTCGCTCACCCAGGGGGGTAGGTGACCCATGGGTCGGGAGGGGTCCACATTACGAGTCTTCGAAACGGGGTGAGGAACATGGGGAGGGATAAGGGGGGTAAGGGAGGGAGACTACGGAAGGCCGGGCAGAGAGCGGGTTGTTGGAAGGGCGACAGAAAGGTGTGTGTGTGTGTGTGCACGTGATGTGTATGTGTATATAAGTACGTGCGTGTGCAAGTTCGCGGGATGTGCGTGTGTTTGTGTCAAAAGTATCAGATAGACGGTATACATCGTGATGAGGGGCACCACACGAACAAGAGCGCAGATGGATTGAGGTTTGGTTTTTGTTCTTCGGCTTACCGGCGTTCGCCTGTCTGTCTGTGTGTTCTGTCTGCCCGCATGTCTGTCTGTCTGTCTGCTCGTGCGCCACTACCAGTAGTCGTCCCTATCGCCACTACCACAGCGCCTCCGGCTATTCCTACTAGCTTCTCGGGCGTCTTTCTCCCATCTTGTTGACTTATCTACATCTCGACATAAGGATTAATGATTTCAAACAATTTCAATTAATCCGCAGCTGTTTTCTACCACTTCTTCATTTATGGACTACAATGACTTGTCGGTAAAGCTCTGCTGCACACTGTGATTTCCTTCGTCAAACTGTATGTATGTATGTATGTATGTATGACGTTGATTACACTGTGGGCTGAAAAGCCGGGGGCCCAGGGCCGAAGCACAGCGCGAGGGGCGGGTATGTATGTATGTATGTATGTATGTATGTATGTATGTATGTATGTAAATATATATGTTTATACTTCCCGCGGCTCACATATATATACACACATACACACTCACCGAGTAATCGAAGCGGTAGCCGTAATGCTGAACTCGCCGCTTCGCCATCACCTCCCAACTCCCCCCTCCTCCC